CCCGCGTTCCCCGCCGGGGTCCCCGACGGGGACCCCGTTCCCCGACGAACACTATTCACATCAGTCGATCGAGCAGAATCTCTGCATTCAAAAATACATATATTTTGTTGAGCGATATTGTTCAGTTGAGAAGATATAGCTATTTTATTATAGCTTTCTCAACTATATAGGTTTGGTACATTCAAGGTTTTCGCTTTACGCTCAGGCTCACCATCAAGTCCAGGGATGAACACTGTCTTAGATTCAGACTTGGTGCTACGTTTAGTTTCGGGCTCAGGATCACGGTCAGGCCAATGACTGGAACTTATGGTTTGGGATTAGTTAATTTTTCGTAACATTGTAAATTATCTTCAGGCATTCAAAAAACTCTCATTGTCAGTTAACAAACGCGGATGATGAGCGATGCAATTCATATTCTCTAATGAGAACAGAATGAAGAATTGAATCTTCTTAATAATCCAAAAACTTGCGTTCTTTTTACGCAGTGATTAAAGGGGTGATTAAAGGACAAATTTCTCCGGCGGGATCTCTGCGAGCAATTATTTGGGAGGAAGAGGGGGGGGGAAGGGGCCACCATGACGAAGCAGTCGGGGAACAAAACTGTCGGGGTTTATGCTGTCATCTCGTCGTCGCGGACTTGCGTCCCAACGAATAATGTTCGCAAGCGCTGCGCGATCTATATTGATGCTTAATTTCAACAATACTTCGTTTAGGGGTTTGCAGCAGCAGTGACCTATTGCACATTCCTATGTGTGTATTCACTGATGTCATATTCGATTATGGTGCACTCAGCGCGGAAAATATTCATGAAACTTCATTCGACAGCTTTGAGCGCTGAAAGAAAGAAGTTGCAAAATGAATTGATGATGTGCATGATCCTTCAGGTTAGCTAATCGGAAAGACTAGAAATCAGTCAACGTGTTGTGATTCATGAGTTAATTCAATTTTTGCATTCGCGAAGCGCAAACAGCAAGAAAAAATTAGTCTTCAAATGAATTATCCCCTTTCTAGTTCTCTGACCTATGAGATTTTTTTCCACTTCACCATCTGTTGTTCCGAAGCATGTATTGCTGAATTGTAGGCATTACTACCGTTGATTTTCTCAACGATTCCAATGCTGGCATTCATAACGATGATGATTGCGCCAAAAGAGATCGATTTTTATGGAACGATTATATTGGCATTTCTGAACTGGCAGCCGTGCATCTATCCGATGATATCGCTGATATCGATAAGACCATTTCGACGTGAAATCAGCAAACTTTTCAAGAAGCAGAATACAGTTGTCGTTGTCAGGAATACTCAGTGGTCGGTACCGAAATTGTTTTCAGTAATGAAAGCAACACATTAAATGATGAACTGGTATCTAATTTACTGCTTCATATTGTGCGTTTACCGCTGGTGTGTTAAGTGTTAATCGTTCTGTCAGCGCTATTTCGAGATTGTATTCATTTTTCATTCTTCTTAAACCAACAAACGAGTAACAGTAGGCTACGTTTATCAAATTAATAGCCATTGCAATTGTTTTAATATAAGATCTATTGAAACGATCGCTATATAAGAATGCATCGCATATAAACAGTGCAGTGCGATTGGTGATTTAAATCACACCATCTTTTCCCTGTTTGCATAACTTTTTCGATATCAGTAAGATCACTGTTTTATATCATCGGAATAGCAGTTATAACTTGAATGAATATCACTCTTCTATACTTCAGCTGTGTATACTTCAACAATTTGTTCATTATCAATAAACAATCTGAATGTTGTTTGTGACCAGTTTCGCTGATTCTAACTTCTGCAACCATTCACTCTCAGCTCTACACTGTATGACTTTACACTGTATCAAATGCTTGCAATTCAACACAAGACAGAGCTGATTTCAAGAGGGTCGATTTGCAATGTCATTTGATTGAAAATACCTCAAGTAAAACCGTGTGCTGGCCAACAACGTGACCGTGTGCATTGTGGCCAGCAACGTTATAAACGTTTGATAGCCTGGCCAATCCAGGCAAAACCGTATACATCTACATTGCTGAACTTTTCCGAGGCAAACGATGCCGAAAAGATGAATACATTTTAAACCCATGAAGTCAAAGATTTCTTCTCAGATTTTTTGAACGTGCTTTTTTGCGGAAACACGTACAGTGGGCGTTTCAAGTTGCTCCTCCATCGCCATCTTCGCTTCATTCGAATAAACCCTGACGTGATGATATCTAGCAAGATCTTTTTACACTTACCTCTATTTTGTACCGCTCTTCTCCACCTCCTTCTTGTTCTCCTAACCAGTGTCGTTTCTGTCCCACAATTCAGGCAAACCATTCTCTCCTAGTAGTAATATCGCGTAGTTTTTATGACTTTTACTTGCTCACCTGCCTATTCTATTAAAGCGAACTTACTGTTTAGGAAGAGCGATTTGCCATGCGACAGGCTTGGAAATAACTTGAATATTAGAGAGCGTTTTCGGATAGATAGACGGTTTGATAGGACCTCATTCGTTACAGGACAACGTTCCTCAGTTCTTCGTGATGATATCAACATGGCTGTGGAATGTAACCGCGTCATTAGCACTTCATTTCATCTATTTTATCGGTAACAAAGAGTAGTTCCAAGGCAAATTTAACATGATATGCACAAATCACTACAGATAAACCGTTTATCCTCAACATTGATGCTAACCTTATGGTGGCATAGCTGTTCTGCTTGTTTATGAGGAACGAAAACTCATCAAAGTTGACAACCTGCTAGTTCAGTTTGTTTTAAATGCATATTCATACTTCTCGTATCTCTGTACTTTTCAATAATGCTATCAGTTCAGTCGTAATCAGTGGTGTCACATGCGCAAAATGTGATTCAGAGGGGGGGGGGGGGGGGATGTCATGCCGACTGTGAAAACAAGGATTCGGCAAACTACCAAGCATGAAATTTCTTTAAAACATATCGCGAGCTTTCGCGCAAAACCGCGGAAATTAGTTTTGACAACCGGCAGAGCGTCGAAAATTTCGAAAGTCGGCATTGTGCTGAAATTTTCGGCGGTCTACCGGCTAACGATCGAACACATTCAACAAATGACTGAAAATTTTTGCAGGTCCTGAACTGATCCAAAAAATTTTTGTTTTGATGGATCGTCAAAAGTTGCGGTGATTTGTTCGATGGGCTTCGCATTGACTTCGGCATTCGGCTATCTTCAGTTGCCAACACCGAGCATAATGTGTTATCGACTAATAATATCGATAAAATCACCTTCAAAAAAAATGTTGTTATTGTCGTATGCTAATTAGCATGATTAGTGCATGAGTTTCGATTTTATTAGTGTTATTCATTTAATCATTGCTGCTTTATTTTTGTTGAGTTTATTATCAATACTGCTGGTACTATGATTGCTGTCATTACGATGTGTGCTATTGTTGTGATGTTATGATGAACGGATGAAAACAGCTAGTCAAACATCGAAATGATTTCATTGCGGCGTCATGTCATGCATTTGGAATCGACTCAGCGTACGCCCATCATAATCCGTAAGCAAAACAATTTCAAGAGGCAATAAAAGCGATATCAACAAATTCATAATATCAGTCTCCAATGGTTCGCTCTCGATCTGTTTGCTTGTTCTCGATTATTTTCTGTGCACAGCACCCATTGTATTTCATTTCAACGGTTTTGTCAACTTTTCAAGAGATCAGTGTGCTTCAAAACTTTCCACTAAACGCGCTAGAAGATTGACTTTCAACAAAGATGTTCCATTTACTTCATTGACCTGAAATTCATTCAACTAATCCGACTGAACTTGGTTACTGTCACTCTAGGACGGAGACTTGAACTGAAAGGTGCAAAATTTTCATGCATCGACGTACTCAGCCTAATTTAAATGATATAATTTTGTCCCCGATTCATTTGCCATGTCGCAATCAATCGATTTCAAAGGATTTGTCCTTCTTCAATTTTACTAGGAATCGCTTAATAGGTGATGTGATGAGGAAGCTCAATCCATCGACGAAAACTCTTATAGGCGCGTTCAGATATTTAGTTTTAGATGATCCAAACTATCATATTCGTTGCTGTGACTGTGTTCATCAAGGCCGCTGCTGAAGTAAGACAAGGTTGTCCCGCTGGACAAACGTGGTTGGCAACTGGTTGCAGAGACCACAGTCAATGCTCCACGTATGCGACTAAGCCTTATTATTGTTACAAAGCACCATCCAATTCTGGTGAATGTTGTCAGATTACGTCACCAGTATGCGGAAATGGTGGCACTGTAGTGAAGGCGCCGTGGGGCTGTAGTTTTTCGCTAGATTGCACTGCTTATACAGACCAGCCGGTCACATGCGACAATGGACTGTGCTGCACAGTATCACCACCCGCTGATTGTGATTACGGTGGCACATTTACGGGACACTTTTGCAACTCACCGTACGATTGCAGACGAGATGAAACAAAGTTTATCACCTGCTTGAGTGGCAGATGCTGCACGGTGAGTGACGAATCAGATTCACAACCTGTATCGAGAAAGAGGGAAATTTCTGGAGTTGCTAAAATTTTGCTACAGCTAAAAAATGTGACAAATGAGGTTCCTTAACTGGAAATCTACTTTCGTAGTGGCAATCATACAACATGACGACCACAGTAGGCGACAGTGCATAATCCTCTACTAGTTTACGGTCATTTTCATGATAACAATATTATAGTCGTCATTTCAAATGAGTATTTTTTACAGTGCTCATCAAAAACGATGAAAATAATGTTATTATGTAGTTTTGTTTACTCTATCACATACCAGCAACTATGAAACGATCGTATTCGTGCGCTTACGTACAAGTGTTCATTTCAGATACCACCAAATTGTCCATACAATCGCGCACCTATTGCTGTTGGATGTGCGAACACAGGTGCTTGTCTTGGTTTGGCACATGGAGTGCCGGTTCAGTGTATTGATGGAATGTGTTGCCCGTATGAGGATTAGAAGCGAACGCTTTGCGAAATACTCACATGTTACTCTCTTTGAAAATTATAGTATTCATTTTCATTGCATTGCAGTCTTCGGCAAATTGCTTTGGCCGCGGGCCGAAATTTCTCCGAGCAAAAATTCTGCGTCGATAATCTTTAGTGTGGTAGCTGAATAAGTTGAAACCTCTTTTCATTTCTCCCTTTAAAATCAAATTCTCAAATTCATCTGGCCGGCCAAAAACTATTGTCGGCTTACCAATTTTGGCCCACGGGCCGGGAGTTGCCGATGTCTGGTGTATTATCATTGCTGGTATTGTATTGCATTGAATTGTCATCACTGCTACTCACATTAATGCTCGATATTTACTACCTTCACGAAAAATATAATAATCTCTTAGCATATTCTTTGCTATGACTGTGAAATATTTTGTTGAATAAATGATTCAGTCTGAGGTCCAGGTAGCCTATATTGTTTTGAAATGTGTTCATCACCATGTATTCATTCAATGGCGAAACTTTCACTCAGGGATAAAAATAATGCTCCCTATCTGAAATGAACTGAGGAATCGGGATATGAATTGGAAAAATATTAAGCTAATGGAACAGTTAATAAGATAGAATGAAGATAAGAGTAATTTCAGAACGCGGAACATTTCACTGAGACGTTACTCGGACAATTTGCCTAAATACGTTTTGCCTAAGGAGAGTTTGCCTAAATGCACGTTGCCTAACGTACACAACCAAAACATCGAAGGCATAATCTCGCAGCATCCATTTAAAAAAATCACACGTCAAACGGTCCTTAAGCCGAAAGAACAATGACAGCCTAACGAAAACAGATCAAACCGGTAAAAATTCCGTTATTCGATGCCTAATCTACGTCGGTGCAAAACAATCGGTCGAACGGAAGATTTGTTTGGAAATTCCAATTAATGACTTCCTTATTCGGCGTTATCAATTGGCAAATTATTGCTGGTATACCCCCGGGGAACCCGAATTCCCCTACAATATTCGGACTTTCGGGTGATGAATTTGCTCACCCAAAACTGTAAAAATGCCAACGTTCTGGAAGAAGTCAGGGACGAGGATGCAAATCCTCGACATTTCCTAATGCCGTACCGTACTGCTGTACTGTTTAATATGGACGCTCAAACGATGACTGAATCACCCACACATACTTCCGGCACCTTCGTGCCTGCAGACCATTAAAGATAAACTAATCTTCTTACTTAAAACGAAAAATCGACATTCTTTCTAATATCAAAGTAGCGTTAGATTTTCGCAGTTCTTATCTTTTTTGGTTCGATTGATTCCTTAACAGAGTTAAGCCGATTACACCTCAAATGATACAGAATGCCTTTGCAATGTGTGAACGTTCTAAGGAACGCTCTTATCACTTCCAACGCAGTATTAGTTTCTGGTCATGTGTATACGATCAGTGAATGCGTTATGAAGTAAGTCAACATCAAATCATCAAAGGAAGATTTTGTTTAGGACAAATATATTCGTATTCGGGCATTACTTCATTGCCTCAGGAGAAAACTGCTGCATAGCATATTCTTCAATGCATTTGTTTACTGAAATTCATGCTTATAATTATATCCAAAAGCGAAGGTTAGCAATGAGTTTCTAGCACTTTTAATGGGGATCCTGGGATGGTTTTTTGAAAGAATGTAACTAAGTCGTGTAAACTATTTTAGACACACAAGACTCCAGTGAATGCAAGCATGAGTTTAGTGAACAAAAGATAAATCTGAGTTAGAAATGATTATTCAGAACAATATTCTCCGTCATTTCTTCGCAGGTCTTCCGCTCGTACTGTTTGGATTCGTTCTCATTGTGATTACTGTTTTCAGATTCCACAACAGTGCCCAAATGGAAGCGATTCGATCGCAATGGAATGCCAGAATGTCTTTCAGTGTTTGCAGTTTTCGATGGCTGTAATGTGGCTTGTACCAGTGCGTTGTGCTGCGTTATGCGATGAAATTCTCATCGTGTTCATCTGCAATGCCGAAATTGCTTATGCTAATTAAATGGATAACAATTGTAGGAATAGTTTATTGTCATGTGGTTGGTCACTCATTAGAAATATTCACTCTCTAATTTCGGGCCATCCTTGCGTTGGTGCTATATTGCTTGTCTATTCTCCTTCCAAAGCCGTTTTATTTTTCTCACGTCTTATCTCCCTTCTCAACAAGACCAATCATGAACTCCCCTTATAATCAATGGCCACCCTCATTGTTCAGATACTATTATACATTGACTACTCACGCCTCCCACAGTACTGTTCTCCACGCCTTAATTTGTTTCCCCCACTGATTCTATTTGTGAATGCTCAATCATTGCAGAAGTCCCCTAGTTTGAGAACTCAATCAAGAATGGTTGTGATAGTTTACGGTTTTATAAGAAATCTGAAATGCTGATTGAACTAAACCTATTTAGTGCCATCCACTTAACCGAGATTTCATTGCGAATGAAACATTCCTTGGGTTAGAGCATACAGCGCTTACTGCCTTTTACTGTGTTACTGTTACATTGAACCGAATCTTTTTGTGAATGATTTAGGTGATTAAATTGATGACTTTTATCAGTGAAAGTCAATCTCATTTCTCGAATAAAGATTTCCATCTCTGGACGCGGAGATGCTGCTCAGTGCTTGTCGCATCCAAATGAAAATTCCAAAAACGGATAAAGGATCAGTTTATAAAACAAGACCTAAAGCTCGACGGCAATGATCCTTTGATAAAGGAGATTGTGTAATCTGGATCTGACTTGATAATGATTTCACGAACAGCTGCATCCAGCTTTCAAATTTGTTGATGGATGGAATCATTTCCAAATTGTATGCGCATAGTAATCATTTCCAAACTGTACGCATAATTATTACTGATCGTGTGGGTTCTAATTTGGGTGAATGTCAGCTTGAATCGTGCAATATGTCAGTCAGTTTGCATGTGACATCTTCTTGCATAATAAAGTAACACACTGTTATTATAAGAGGAGCACACGTTGGAGATGCATCATGCCAGCATATGGCAGAAATGTTTACTTAGAGTGTTCCGCTGAAGCTGTGCAGCAAAGTCCGCCGAGACATGTTGCTGGATATCCATTAGCGAATGAAGCACATTCAGCTGCATTCGTACATCCCACGCCAACAACGGTGCCTTCATTTGAACATTTCTCAGGAATCTGAAAAGTGAGCCTTGCATTATGCTCACAGATGGCTAATTACAAGCAGCATGATGAAAACATTCAAACGTCATCGAAATTCACGAAATCCCCACCTGCGATAAAGTTAAACCAGAGTAGAAGCCAAATATTAAAGGCAACATATGAGACGGTTACCACCTACCGTACAGCACGTTCCTTTTAGACAGGCGACAGGGTCGTTTGTGTACGAAACACATTGCTGAGAAGTAGAGCATCCAACAGCGATAGCTTTACCGCCATTACTGCATGACGATGGTACAGTACAACAAGTTGAGTCTAAGCATGTTACGGGTTGTTGGGTGAACGATGCACACTGAAGGGCACAGCTACATCCTGTTGCTACTGCCTCACCACCGTTAGTGCACGGATTAGGAACTGTACAGCATAATGCATTTGTGCATTCGACTGGCTTATTCGTATAAGCAGTGCACTGCTTGGAATTGGTGCAGCCCTGGGCAACCGGTCTGCTTCCATCAGTGCACGTTGGAGACGACCGAACTGTGCAACAAGTTGAATTGAGACAGGTGACTGGTCTGGATGAGTAGGAAATGCACTGCGCTGAAGTCGTGCATCCGATGGCCACTGCTTTGCCGTCGTTTGGACAAGTTGACGGCACAGTGCAACACGTTCCACTCAAACACGTTACTGGCTGCGTTGTATAGGGCACGCACTCGCTAGAGGTTGTGCAACCAAGTGCTACCACAAAACCACCGTTACCACAACGAGGTGGTGCAGTGCAGCATGCACCATTCACGCACGATACCGGTTCACCGGTGTAACGTGCACATTGTGAGGACTTAGTGCATCCAGTCGCAACCATCTGACCTCCATTCGGGCATTGTGAACCAAACGATTCACTGATTGCAACGAGAGTTGTGAACACCAAAAGGAGCATTCTGAATTTCTTCATGAAATTACCCAATTCATGATTGAAGAGTATATAGGTGCATGCAATCGCATCACTTGAATGAAGAACTTAATTTTAATTTTAATTTTCGAAAGCTATGATCCGGTGATAGACCCTTTGGATATTATGGATTGGTGGAAGTGCTGACAGAAGTAACAGCATTTGTCCACTTGTTGAGAAGCTGATCATCACAGGTTTTAAATTCTCGCTTTTGAGCACGCCATTCACTTACACAGTCAATGTTTTTGCTTGCTGCACGTCAATGAAGCGAATAAACTGATCAAAAGCTTAGTGAAATTGTAGACTGGTTAGAATTTCATTGCTTAAAAAATTGTAGAAAATATGCGACTTTATGATTACAATAAAATTCATTGCTTTCATTCGCGGCTGACCTATTCACAATCCGTTAGTACGACCTTCTCAAATTGTTTGCTTGGTAGGTGTGGTACCAGCACTGAAAGTTCGCCTAGAAGCGCTTAAGCTCATTTAATCCCTTCCCATCTATGTGAATTGAGAATAACCGCACCAAGACGACCCGTCGTAGAGCCGGGACACGTTCACAGAATGCTATGAATTGTTGGTGAATAGCTCTCACGTTTTAAAGAATGCTTAACAAAACCTGCAATGAGCACTGTATTTTAATCAAATTAAAGATCGCACAGCTGTTAAAACAGACAATTCGGTGTGCAATGCAAATCATTGTGAATTGATTTCCCGATCAAAAAAAAAANGCTCGAGGATTCTGTGGGACACCTTGAAGTTGCTGTCGCTCACCGCAGTCAGAAACACCTTGTGAGCCAGACAGCTCTCATGCTCGTACCTTTTTCATGTTCTGTGAGTCATAGGAAATTGTTTGCGTCGAAGTTAATCTTTCGAAAAACGTCCCGCCATTGTCCCATTGGCAATGAACAATCGCTTTTGGGCTTTATAATGGAACAATATCATTTCCACTTTTTATAGGTGTTGAGCTGTGCAAACATACCGCTATTGCAATTGCTTTTTTTTTTTGAAGTAATCACACCATACTAAGGTGACTAATCGCTGATATTTTGCATGCTCGACTAATCAAATATTAGATTATTTGAGAGGACGAGTAATGTTTCGGTTCCAATCAAACTGTTTTGTTCCTGCTCTATTCCTGACCTACTTCAAGGAATAGAAGGCAATTGTTTCTGGAGATGGATGAACAGATCTCTTCCCATTCGTTTACCTGCTCTTGTTGAATAGATGCCGTGATTTTAACAGGAATGTGAATCAGATTTCATTTGGTACAATAGGTCGAAGTCTGCATTCAAATATTTAGAGCAATTGTGAGATAGGACGTTAAGGGAGTACGTTCCAGAATTTAACAATTCCATTTACGAACGGAGTAGATCAAAACCGATGTGAAATTTGTGATGCGAGAACAGAACAGAGAAGAAAGTCTTGTAAAAAATGCGGAACAGAAGCATCACTAAGGAGGACAACAGAGGAACATTCATCTTCAGCAACTTCATCAGTGAACGTTCATCAGCAGTGAAGAAACTATACTTGATACTATCCCCGGTACGGAATGTTTCATTTGTCGGCAAACAGTACGTGAAATATGCAATCGCCGCAAGCTGGCATAAATTCTTGTGTAGGTTGTTGTGAACCGCATAGCTGTCATTGTTACGGAGCAATTCAGCAAATGTAATCTTTTGTTTGTTGACAACCTAATATTAGTTGCAGAGATAACTTTAAACTACTCAACGTAGAAGGGCAACGTAATTCGAACTTCGTATGTTTCATATAAACATTCAGTATTTTGATAAACAAATAGAGAATGCATGAAAGCAATGAACTTATTAATAAATACTGTTAAGGCATCATCTGTTTTTGCGGTTGTTTCAGAGAACTATATTCGAAGGACAATGCTCCTGATATCACCATTATGATGTGACTCTCCAATGAGTTACAATTTCGAAAAATCTATTTGAGCGGCTTCTTATACCCACTTCCAAATGAATGCTCACTTTTTGTCGTTTATTCACCACCATTCGCAACGTTACTACCAAATATTCATATATCCTTGACAACGGGTTGATTGCCGGGAGTTTACAGGATGTAATGAAGCTTCATTTTACATAAAGGCTGGCTCATTTCTTATTATGAGGGTGATTTTTATTGGTAAGGGAGGTTATCACTCAAAAATCCTTCGGTAATCTGCAACCCTGCAGGAAAGTGTCGGTTTTGCTGAGAAAAACTTGCATGAAATTCCACAGAAAATGACTCAATTTGAACGGTTACGAGGTAAAACACTGTTCGATAGTAATTTTTTAGAAATTCAATTTATTTAACACCAAAGATTACGAATTTCATTCAGGAGGCTACTGATTTGACAAGATCTACCAAATTCATCTTCAACTCTGTTCATGTTATCATTCCTACTATTTGTTTTCTGCGTAACGGTTTCTTGGGCAGATGCCTTCTTCGGCCGTACGCAGAGTGTCGGTGCTAGAGGTGTGCTACTTTGTTTCAACCAAGCATTGCGCGAAACTTTGGTGAAGCTTTACGATGCCGATCGAGGTGAAGAAACGCTTTTGGAAGTTTCCTTTCAGTTATTTTGCGTTATTTCGAAACACAGCGAACGTGTTAAGTCTAGCAACATTAATGTGCAATGTGATGCAAACTCAATTGGAAAACTAATAGTAAGCTGCGTAACGCAAAGAAAAAAGATTTGCTTGGCATTCTAGTGAACATGCACTCAGTTGAATCAACCATTAACTTGTCCGATGGAATGAAGTGCTCAATGTGAGCAGTTAATTTCGGTTGTCCAGCAATGAGTTGCCTTACTTCTTGGTCATCATTTGCAATGATTTTGATTCCGTTTGAGGAATTGATCCCGATGATCTGTTGGCAGAAGGTAAAACTGATGAAGAGGGTCGTTTCGAATTGAGCGGATATACTGACGAGACAACACCGATTGACCCAGAACTCATCATCTATCACGATTGCAATGACGATAAAAAGGTGCGTTTTGCAGCTTTTTTTTCACTTTTTTCCTAACGATTGCAGTTCGTTAACGTTCTGAGCGCTTCGCAAACTCTGGACAGTGAACGAATTGGAATCTGTCTCGTTTTTACATTGGTGTTCATGTGATCTAAGTATTATACCATTTTTCAATGAAATTTTATTGTTTTGTAATCAAATCTTAGTCATCAGTGATGTAATAACGGTCTCGTTTTTACCGAATTTCATCAGGAATCACTGATGATGTGATGCATCATTACAGCCATGTCAAAGAGAGGTCACAATCGAGATACCTGATAGTTACATTTCGCTTGGAAAAAAGGCAAGGATATTCTATGACGCTGGAAGGCTTGAACTTTCTGGATGGTTTGCAGGTGAAACACGTGATTGCATTCATTGATGTGACGACACATTCGTGTTACTTGTTGCAAATAAAGTGAATCGTATGGTTATCGATGAGCAGTTACACATCATTTCCTTCATAATTCCAACAGCGTTAACGCTCCAACTTAAGAACAAACCATGCACACGAGTTAATATGAATGCTGGCAGTGCATTCACCAGTGCTCGAAACGGAATGATTGTTCACATGAAAGCATTCGACGAAAGCATTCATACGCCGTTCTGTACTGATTCAAAATGGCAATTAAAATCTCGAGTTGTTTAATACAAATTCAAACGTAAAATTGTCGGTTAGCAATACTCCTCTGCTTCATAATTCATATCCGGAAGGGATACAAAAGTATTTGCTGACTCATTAGTTATCATAAGACGTTACAATAAACTCTCACAGTCAAGTTTCTAATTTATTTGTCTTTTCGCGAATGACGATTATACCAGTATGATGACATCCAAATGATTCGACTAATATCACTGAACTACCGCCATTGTTTTCTAGCACACGACTGAACGGTACATACTCTTATGTTTACACTGGTGTTCATGTGATCTAAGAATTATACGTTTTTCAATGAAATTCTATTTTTCATGTAATCAAAGCTTAGTCATGAATGATGTAATAATACAACTTCAGTTATGATAACCAGTTAAGTGTTCACGCCTGCTCAACGGTCATTGAGAATTTCATAAAATTACTGACTTAACAATGACTCACTCATTCGACCGTTTATGATAACATGAATGTTTGACTTTTGAAATGATGTTTGCTCTGTTTGTTAAGTTATCAATCAAGAGTGAGCAAAAAAATATGTTAAGAATATAAATAACTGTCGGAAGGTGCTTCTGTAATTGTTCATAACTGGTTTCGCCTGAGTCAATAAAAGCTGGTTTCATGTTGTTGTTTTCATTATAAGCAACTCACTTTCCACTTCAATGGCTCGGTTACAATTCAATTTATTTTCCGTCGATCAACGATGCCTGCTGAACGTCTTTCATCTGAAGTCGTTTCAGTCATCATCAAAGTTTTCGTTTTGATTTTGTTCAATCCCTGACTGTAACCTGCTTTGTGTCTATTAGAATAGCGGTGTGTATCCTGCCTTAAGTGTTAGATTAGTTTTCCTTTAATGCTCCTCAGAGAGATCGTTGTGATTTTATCCACAACACTTAACTGTATGCGAAATTTTTGGGATCAATGCTGCATTCACCAGAAAACATGTAAAGAAACTGGCAACGCATCGTCAGTGACAGAAAATTCCAGTGTATTTCAGCTGAATTTCAATGCTAAACCGGCCCGATTTCATGGAGCAACAAGATGTGAAAGATTTTAAGTTACTTGTTTCTCGCGAATAGGCTTTCCGAAAAATGTCTTCTTTGCTTTCAAAAGAATGTTTTTGTGAAGTTAACTGTGACATGATCATTCTGTTCGTTTTTCAGTGAGATGTCGTCGTTTCACAATTTAATTTTATGTCTCGTTATTCTCTGCACTGCTTGCCCATCGTGCGCACTGATCGGTCGAACACAAAGTGCTGGAGTCAAAGGGCAGTTGCTTTGCCACGGAAAGCCACTGAAAGCTACTCTTGTCAAACTGTACGACGATGATACAGGTCTCAACTTTTCGCATACCTGTCTTTCAGCACGGAGACGTTACACCGTATTTCCGATTTGAATCCACATTCAGATCGGAAATACGCTGTAACGTGCCAATTGCGGATTATTAAGACTGATTACAGCTCTCGAATGTAAGACTGATTATACCTGCAAAATGACCTTTCTGTACCAGTCGTTATCATCCGCATACAATCGTTCAGGAGTCGATTTGGACGACCTAATGGACGAAGGGAAATCGGATAGTGAAGGACGTTTCCAGCTAAGCGGTCACGTTGACGAATTCATGACAATTGATCCCAAGTTGAATATCTATCATGATTGTGATGATGAATGGACGGTTCGTATTTTCGTTTCATTCCCCAGAGATTCTCTTACCTCGACAGGAGGATCTAATTGGCTATGCACCTTAGGCAACTTTTCAGTTGAAACCATTATGCATAGTTGATTCGGCAATCGGCTTACTTCAATTTCTTGAAGGTTTTCCGATCAAATGTAACGAATATGAACAAACCAAATGTAACAGCATAATTACAGCCTTGTCAACGAAGGATGAGCGTTTATATTCCATCAAGTTACGTGTCCGATGGGAAAGCCGTTCAACGTTACTACGATGCTGGACGTCTCGAGCTGTCAGGGAAATGGAAAGGAGAAACACGTGATTGCATACATTGATTGAATGTGGCCAAATTATGGGGCGAGTAACATTCAGGAACACTTCTGTTGTATTTATGAAATTGTATCTTTGCTCCTTTATATGTAAATAAATAACAAATTTTGTTCGTCTCCTCAAGTAGTTCAGATCGAACGCTTTTGTTCGCAAAGCTTTCGGTGTATGGTTACAACAGCGTGATTATATGTTCCACTGCAACGATTGAGTTTACAAAACATTTAGACGAAACTATAGTCGATTTCAATATCGAATTCACATGTCTATCACCACTCGCAGTGTGCGTAGGAAGCAAAGATAAATCCTCATTATTGCTGTTTTCTTATGATGAAATGTTCAGTCTGTTGGGGTGGTGGAAACACTCGGCGACAGCACTGACCGCGAGTCCAGACGCTGGCCGGATGAAGTTCAAAAAACTGTTTCCAGAGTCTCCCAGCAAATGTCATTCTCATTCTTTTCATAAATTTGCTAGCTCATTCAGATCACAGTGGAACCAAAGAAATACTTTGTAGTTCAGCACTACCGTGAAGCAGTCATGAAGAAATAACATTTCGATATTTTCATCAATACTATTCAGCCATTTATTAACTGTGTGGTATTCGGTTCAATTTTCTGAAACTTCGCTGAAACCAATACGTTTTAAAGATTGTGTGACCATAACTGGTAACGCTCTTGAACAAAATAAATCATATGATGTTCTGGGAGAATTTTGTGCGTAGATTGCAGAATGAGCCTACTTCTGCTTTGTATGCAGTGTTTTTGCAACTAACCAGCAACTAACCAAACTGATGGATTTCAATGCATTAAAAAGTTGGCTTTTCGCTCTCTCGAAATCTGGATAACACGCCATTCATATCCATCGGATTCCCTACATCACTCACCAATTTTTGAGAAGATCATATCAAATAAGATAAGAAAATGGAGTTTATGTATTGATTGCTTATTAGAACGTTATAAAAAGTTACGAGGTTGGGGAATAGACGCTGGAAGTCGTCAAGTACTGAAGAGGGTAGCAAACGAAACGCAGACAATAAGAGCGAGCGAACAGTTCTTTGATGAGACGCAGACATGATTTGTTGGTTAGAGACACCGTTGTGGATTTGAAAACACATTTTCTAAAATATCAAAACAACGGCGGGTGATAAGGAAATTCTGATTCCAGATTTGGATTCTACGTGCATTGGGGAATATAAATAGAATGTTGTACGGGTTACGTGAGACTAGAGAGTCAGCTTTTTAATGCACTGAAACTGATGCTGATTTTCCGGAGTTCGAAGGCTAATTGCCGGAAAAATGGTCGGTGAAATCCAAAAAGAGGTTTCGTTCGGGATTCTGCGCATAAAACTGTCCGAGAAAATGACAGTCTCATTCTTTCATGTCTTTTGTTACAGAGTGTAATCATCGTTAATCTTTGCATACAGGTCGCAGAAACCTGTTACGATGAGTAATAAATGCACTATAACCAATGTATATTTATTTTGTTCGATGATTGGTCTTGATCGGAGTTTTGTTCTCATTGATTTTCACTGATGTTAGGGGGTTTCATGTTGCTTCGGCTAACAGCCACGCAGTAGTTTTACTGTCAACCACCTGTAGACCAACCATGTAAATCCAATTTCTAGGACTCATCGTGTCACGACTATTGAGTCGTGAGGTAATTTTAAGTAATTGAAAATGATCTTTCAATTATTAGAATGAAACAATATTGTTAGTTTGATTGACGGTAGATTGTTCACGCGAAGAGTCATTGAGTATCACATGGCAACCTATCCCTCAGAGAATCAGTTAAAAAATAATCAGAGGGATAGTTTGATAAGATTAGAGTGATCTCTGAGGCTTTGCTGAAAGTAAAAGCGACAAAATGAGATCATTGGGCGGTGCAGGGGATGATTAAAAATAAATCAGTATCAAAGGAAAGTTTCTACCATTGACAGGTTTCTTTGTGTAGAATTGGAATGACATCATGCAGCCGCATGATACATTTATGATAACTTCTTATTTTCACTGATTAATTGTTAGCTGTATAATTTTGTTCGTGATGCTTGTTAGTTGTTTATGATTTAATTACCCAAGTTTGAGGTAATTTTGCGAATAAAGATTGAACCGAAAGAACACAGTCTTTACACATCGATTCTTTTCTTATCAATTCCACTTCGTTGAGATTATGCCCCAAAGAACAGATTTTCACTTGCCTGGAATCTGCAGGATGAATCATAATAATCTAGCAGTGCTCCTTCTGATATGATGCTCAAGCAAGGGAACACCTCGAGAAATGTGGCAGTTTATGTGACGGAGTATGTTAACAACAAAATAAAATCGAATGGCTTGAACGTGTATGATTAATAACAGTTGAAAAACATTCGCTGAAATAGGAGTTTGATTCGATTGATTCAATGGTGAAAACGCGATCACAAATAACTGTTGATTCATGCCTTTTTTGAAAACATCATCGAAAATCTGTCATCAATTAGATTTATAATGACACATCATTATTGCATGTGATTGTCGCAATAAATAGTCTCTTTTTGCGTTCGATATTTTTCTCCGATAATCGCCTATATGAACATTTCGTTTAATTATTGTACATTGCTCAACCTTTACGCCCTCCACTCATTCCAACGTTCCAAGCGCCCTGCTGAGGTCGACTGCTTCAAATTACCTCATCAGTTCTCATGTGCTTTCTTCTTTCCTAAAATCAAACAGTTTCTTTCAAATGCTAATTAAATAATGCTGATTTACACTTCCATTGTGTGGAAGAGATGGATTTTCAGTTATTGTAGCGAAGAAAAATCAATCTTCCTTTTGCATCGTTTCGAGCATTAATTGAATTGAAAGGTTTTTTCTGTTTTGTGCCTTGACGACAGTTAGAATGCCCATGCAAGAGTTTTGTCAGTGCTTACGAACGATAACGTGATCATGCATTAATGATAAATGAAGATTAAAGCACGTCATTTTTGTTTTCGATGAGATTCTGAAAACATTTCGTGAATCATGCGTGCTGTTTTTGTATGCAAATCGAACAATAGGAATGACAAGGTGACGAATGCAGAATAATATTGTGTTCGCTTCGCCTGTTGTCTCTATTTAAGGCATTACACCGTGTTCATACCTTTCATGATTACATCATCTGCAACATTCCCAATTGGTTGAATCGTTTCGAGTTCGATTTTCTTCACTGAAACACTGATTGATTGGTCTACTTTCAGCCTTAAAATGTACTCAACAACAATTTTCCTAACGATCGTTTTGCTTTCGATTTTGTCACCTGTGTCTGCTTTGGTTGGAAGAACTCAAAGTGCTGGAGTTCGTGGAAAATTATTCTGCAATAACAAACCAGCGGGTGGCGTCTTAGTCAAGCTATATGACGATGACAGAGGTTTGTGGCGATTGAGATTAGTGAACTGTCTTAATATTACTGGATAGAATACGATGTTTGTTATTTGCGAGATCAATTAATATCTGGAGCATTAATGCATGCTCAGAAAGTTATGCCTCGGGATGAAACATTTTTTGCATGTGACAGCTAAGAAAAGCCGTTTGCTGAAGGGCTTAGATTCTGCGCAGGATGAACGAGAATGCATGGGGTGTTTCATTCTCCATTTGGATGTAACAACTGGAGTATGCATCAATCTAAATGTTCCCCGTAGAATATGAATTAATCCATAAATATTCAAATGCTAGTAGTGTTCCTAATTTTTGAAACATTCTTTATGATATGCCAACTATAATGTTGTTACCTCAACCGAATACCGAAATTGTGACAGCATAATCGGCCTATTTTCAACCCCTCCACGGAACCAACTCAACTGAAATGTTTTACTTTTGAGGATTCGACTTCGACGACCTGATGGACAAAGGTAAATCGAATGCAGATGGCTCGTTTGAACTGAGCGGTCACGTGGACGAAATAACACCGATTGATCCCAAGTTGAACATTTACCACGATTGTGAAGACGGATTCATGGTGTGTTTGAAATTGCTGCATTAATACGTTGAAGTGATTTGAACCGTTTCATGGCTCATAGGAGAATACATTAATGTGATACCGTGCGAGACAGCTCAAAGCAGACTCACGATTATTCAGCAGTCGATGAAGGCTGAATGCATGTGAATGTGTAGCTGAAAGAAAATGTTCACGTTGATGTTTTGAATGCGAGAAAATATCGGTTTATGAATACATTGATTGGATGTTCCTGGCATGGATGTCACTTGCATTAAATTAATAATTCATCATTTGAATGTTGCTGGCATGGATGTCAACTGAACGATAACTTATCTGTTTTTAAACTACGTCTTTTCCAAAAACTTTCAAACGGCTGCACTGACCTCGTGTTCTCCGTTCTGTATTATATATTTACGATGCTTCGTGACAATAATTGATTGATGTTGCAGCCATGCCAACGGAAAATTTCAATTATGATTCCGGACAAATACATATCGGAAGGAAATGTCGCACGTAAATTTTACGACGTTGGAAGTATAGAACTGTCCGGTAAATTCAAGGGCGAAACCAGAGACTGCTTCCACTAACGACCACTTCTCAAAGCTGTGATTGCAACCATGCACCCTTTCTTGAAACCCTTCCATCCAGTGTTTTATCGTAACTGCTTTAAACTTCATGGCCAAATTGTCAATGAAACAACGTATCGATTATCGGAAGATCTGACAACGAATAAATGTATATCTACTTTGATAATTCAGCAAAGGAAATTGTCAAGTGCTGAAAGTCTTGTGTGTATTCTTTTAACAGCCTTGCTTCAGACGGTTGAATGAAATGTAGGAGGGGAAAGATTTTTATTTCCATGGTCATCTGGGTTAATTCCAGGAATATTCAAAAGAATATTACAAAACTTCAATTTGATTATTTCTCTGTGGGGCGTAAAAAAACTAGGGTATTGCTTTCAAATTCGCATTGGGTGGAATCGAACCGATTAAAACACGAAATCAAATCAGATTGCACACGATAAATTAATTCGGACAAGTGTGAAGTTATGGATTGTTACAGTCGAACGAAAATATTAGTTATCAGCGAAATGCGTTTCAAGGTATTTCGATTTAAAATCAGACTTGTTCCTAGTTGTTGCTAACAAATGGCACTTGCAAGCGTACGACGGAAAACAGTTTCTCAAGTGCGCACGGGTATAGAGCGAGTGTGTTTTTTTAGTCTACTGAAACTTGACGTCCGTCTGCAATGTGGCCCTTCAGCATAGTCGAATGCCACGAACACTTGAGTCCCTATCTGCGTGAAAATGTACACGATAAGTTCGTCAGTTAACATGCACTAACGGAGCTAAATTTTCCTTTCCTCAGAGACTCCGTTCGAGATTTTTCTTCGATTCGGAAAATGTCCTAGGCTGTTGTATTTCTACCAATGCAATGTTTTGACGAGATGAGACGGAAAATTACTTACAATGGAAACCCGAAAAAATATTGATGTGGATCAGCTGGGAGTTCAGCAGAAATGGGTGAAAATTCCGCAGTTGCATTTGTCATTTCAGAATGCGATACATTTCTTCCCGCTGATAATGACAGAAAACAGAATGATGTATTCCACATAATTATTTGATCCGTTTCTTTGGAAATGTGCTTTGAATGCTCTTTGCTGCTGCATCGCATTAATTTTACTTGAAGACCAAGATCTGATAGTATTTAACAGTCGACGTTTATGGAATTTGAAGTTACGAAGTTAAAAGAACTTCCACAAATTTCTTGTGGCATTAATTTAGTTTCTCACAATGAATCATCGCTTTACATCTTCCACAAACACAAAAAAAGACATCATCCCAAAGTTGGGCCCTATTACAGTGAAAAACGATTCGTTATTGCCTGTGCTTTAGAAAATGGAGATGAAATTTGAAGAGAAGTTGCCATGCGAGTGTATTTCTCAACTTATTGCTGCTTATTACTTTATTCGATGATCGTTTCTTCATGTAATTAACTACATTCATTTATTACTTCGTTTCATTAATTGCTGAATTTTTGATTTGATATTAGGTTTTTCAACGTCTCTGTTCGTTCTAATTTATTATCACAATATGCTGATTCTTTTCGCTTCGATGGAAAAAAATCATGCTTTGAGACGTATGAAACGTTCGCTGCAATCATTTTCACAATAAACTAATTCTGCAGTAGTGGGAAGAATGATTGGGACGAGCTGCACGCTTGAAAAATGCGATTCTTGTTTTCAACTTTCATAACATTTTAAAAGATTCACACTATGAGAAATTTGCCTTCGTATTCTTTATTGAGATGGTTGTCTCGGCTCATTGGAATGCAGATTCATAGGGAATCAATTCGGTGAATAAGATGAAAGAGATTAAAGGTGTGCATGACCGTGTTTTGTGAGAATGCAATAGTGCATGACCCTTAGTAGTTGAGGTGTAAATGATGCAATCGACGTTGTCTTGTGATTTGACACTGATCAGGCAAGGCGCATTCTCTCTGATCTATGCTCAAACAATTCCGATTATCGGCCAATTAATTGCGCAATTCGTTCTAAAGACTATTGCTAATGACAATCATCGATATGATTCAAACATCTCTGAATGCTGTGTCAATGATACTCCACATTGAGATGATACGTGTTTCGGTGATCTTTTACTGCTTTACGCATTGGTTCGTTTTTCTTTGATCTTTCTTTGACGATATACATTAATACACATTTTTTGTCGAAGAAAGTTCTCCTTTGCAATTTCTTCGATTTGAAGCATAATCAGTATGCAGCTTCCTGCAGATGAATTTGGCACGGACTGAATTCTTCGTTGATTTAGTGACTCGATTAGACGGTGCTAAGTAGTTGGTGAGAGAAGAATGCGTTTCAGATTAATTTTTATCCATTAGAATGTACATATACACATAAATACAGAGATGCACAAACAATACAACTCGTTTGAGCACAAAATAAAACAATTTCATTGCTGGTGAGATGAAAGTAAACAAAACAATTAGTTTTTTTGCATAATTGTTTGCGAATGATAAGTGATTGTGAGTTGAACGAATGCAACTTCTTGCAGTGAAACACAATGTGTCTCTGCTTAAACACGATCCGGAATGCTTACAACAAAACTTTTTCAAATTGAAATTACCGTGAACAATGACAGAAATAGAGAACTCTTACCATTCAAAACTTTCATCAAAGGCATACTTCAAACTGAAATTACAACTTTGCTATTGTCTCGTTTATATGAAGTGAATATAGATATGTAACAAACATGAACAATTCGAAATTAAACGAATATTTCCAAACGAAAAGTATTCCTACGCATAAATTTTCAAAGCAAAAAAACAAACCGATGACTAGTAACAGCAATAATCACAATAATAACTTGTATTAATACAATGCTAAAGTTATGAATGGTAATGATCGCATGAAAGCAACTAGGCTGAATGGAAATTGCGTGATGATGATTTGTCGTCAACAAAAAGCTGATTTGAAGTGAACGTCTGTAATGTTTTAGCGGAAGAGGTTCACTGCGGGAACTCTTTATCGACGAGCATTCAACGCGAAATGAATGAAGAAAAAGCCGAAAGGAGGAATGCGGTAAAGAAGACTTTTTCATTTCAAACAGAGCCCCTACAGAGAATGTGATGATGAAATAGCTTTGATCGCGTCTGTCAGCTTTGTTCTTGCCAAGGACATCCAATAACACATCGTGTGCCCGTGAATAATCATTCTGATCACGAATATCGGTTGGCTAAATCGTTAGCATTGTAAATGAACTTTGAGGAAATTCATACTCAGAGTGCAATGTTCAGAGAGAACGCAACACGATTCATGAACATTACAAATGAATTGACGATCATAATGAAATTTGTTTCGCACAAATAAAACATGGAAAGAGGATTTATGTTGTTTGATATCAGGCGGTTTTAATAAAAGGAGTAAATTCGGACAGAGATGGATATATTTGTAGAAGTGTTTAGAAGAGAGTTCAGCTGAAGGCCACCACCTCAGCACTAAACACGATTATCCCCTTCCCTCTACGGTCACTGCTATTCGTCCGTCTACCTGCCAAACTAATCCTAATCCAACTAACTTTATGTCAATCTAGATTTTGCAGTCGGCTAGACCAAACGTTGAACGTTATTATACATTCACGTTATTACGTTCACCATCTATATGACTGCATAAAAACCACCACTCATTTCATAAAATTATACTTTTCGAAGATCAATACGAATGTGTTATCGAGAAAAATGTGACAAAACAAGAAGATAGTAATAAAAGAATGAGATATTGAACACTATGTGTTGTTGAGGCTGACGCAGCCCGTTTATACGGACTTGCTTCTGAGTCGAAAGTCGATAACTCATAGTCCTTTGTGCGTAGCTTACCTGAAGTTCAGCAAGATGCAGATGAGAGAACCTATTTGAAACGTTGAAATGTGTGGATTCATTTGGAAAGTTGGAAAATGAGATCGTGTTGCGTGGAAGTAAACAATTCTCAGTTAAATGTTCCTCAAAAACAATTTGCAAACCATACCAAAATAGCACTTTTCGATGTAAATACCAGCCACAAGTCTGCTCATCGCCGAATATCCCGTAACCAGTGGTTCTTCGAGGATACACAGTTGACCATAGTCAGCATCTTGCCTCAGAAAGGCAAACGTAATTTCGAGATCACTCGACTCACGGTAGTTAAACACTTGAGATGGTAACAATGGACCACTACCTCCTTGTAAGGAAGCGGTCAGCCTGCAATAATGAAATTATTTCTTTAATTGCTCTCAAATGGCACTCAACAAATCAATCCGTACGAATGTGAAGATACTGAGTACGAGTGAAAAGGGTCGACATCAACGAGCAAGTAATCTATTGAACTGTACGCGATAATGTTAAATCTGGCAATGGTTTACCTCATTGGAAAGTCAACGAGTGAACGAACACGGAATTGCATTGTTGTGGCACCAATATCCAGAATTTCAATATCCGAAACCGTCGTATCGGCACTCTTACCGAATCGATCCAACGTCCGCAGAATACGACAATCTGTTCCGGTTGATTCATTGTGACGGTTGAAATTCTCCCATTCCACACAAACATAGTACCATGATCGTTCACGAAGTTCAGATAAATTTACCTACAATAGCACACGGATCATGGTTCGAAGGGATTACCACTTGCTGCACCTAGGTAAATAGAACACCACACATGCAAAATGCACAACGCAAACGAACCTGTTTATCATCACGAATATTATCTGGATATAATACTTTCGTAAACGGAGGTTCATCACGTCGCAGAGGTATGGCAGAGATGAAGAGAGTTGGTATTTGTGTGGGGGACAGATATTCTTGCAGGAACGCATCCATAAGTACCACTCGAAATCCGTGTTTGGTTGGATCAACGAAGTTTATCGCTCTTCAATAATTTTCAGATTAGACAATACGGTTGGTAAATGAGTTATGGGCATGTAATTCCCATTGTGATGGAAGGATTTATCATTAATGCACATTCAGGTCGCTTGATCATGAGAGGTAGCGCAGGAAATGGTCAAGAAATTCCCTCGAAAAACGAAATACCGCGATTCACGCTTTGCTGGCTGATCTTTTGCTTTGAATCAATCAGATTTTGGTTCACATACAACTTCTGCACGCAGTCAACATTTGGCGTCAACAAAACGATGATATAAAAAACAAAAATTTCCATCAAATACAGGGCTAATGTGTACAAAATTTCACTTGGAAAAAGCTTGCCCTCTGCAAAAGAATCTCATTCCGTAAACATCATGCGCTAATATGAATACTCGTATGAACTAACTCACTTTGTATTAACGAAGAAGCGCTGATATTTTGGTGTCGCACCGACAATAATTTGAATAAGTGACAGGATGGCAACTGTCGTTAACCGAATCATTGTTCAGCTAGTTGAAAACGATGATCACTTGCAGCAGATAATTAATCAAGCAATGATCGATCACCCTCGAACACTTTCAAAGAGTCTTTACACCAAATCAATGAGGCGGAGTTTGATAACTGAGGTATATCTTCGACTTGTATAAAAAGGTTTATATGGATTGCAACACCACTTTCACACATGAAATCAAGGGGCGTTGCTCTGAACACTTCACGGTACTAAGCCGATGAATTACTGCACTTAACTGCGATCCTGGAAAGTCACCATTTGAGGAATTCAAAGCAACATTCTCGAATATATAGTGATCGATAAAAACCAAAACACGTCAACGTTGAGTGCAGCTATTTATGTAATCAGCTATTAGAACTTGGTTACGAGCATATATCTGGAAAATGAGATGAATATTACGGAAAATCACTTCGAAAATGGACGAAACACACTGTGCTATTGCCGAGTGTGAGCGATTTTGTATGGCCAGAGCACTCTCAATTAGGCTTATTTTGATGTGGAACTAAATTAACGCTATTTATTTGTTGTGTTGTGGTGTGTCATTTGTTGAGATTCGAACTGATTGGTGTGCTTGAAACAAAATTAAATGCCCTTTCGTTGGTGGAAATGAACTTGAAGAAGAGAAATTGCACACACACACAGTAAACACTCACACTGAAACGATACCGCAGTTGTAGATGCTACTAACACCTCATTAAGTCGTGGACGAACAGTGAAATTGGTTGTTCATCATAGCCAACCGATACACTTCTCAGAAGCATTATTCACTTCGGATAATTGTGATCATATGCAACCAACTGATGCATAAACGGAAATTTCGACGTGTCCTTCTTTAACGACCACTTTTTGAGTCGGTCACTGAGGTAACATTCATTCACTCGTTAAATAAGATTTTGTATCTTGCAATTCACGGAAGCAAATAATGCTGACAGCAAACAAGTGAGCAACAACAACCTGTTCAACTGATCGTAATATATGCTCTTTGAAATCTATTTTATAGGCGTAATTTACAAGCAATATGACTTCGACTACATCCTAAGAAGCACATATTATTCCCTTAGATATGATGAACATAGTTTGATGCTAGTTTGTGCACTCGTTCTTCAAATGAGCCGGAGAAGCGAATAAAATCTGAGCCGGAAAAGCTGATAATCCTTGAGCGGGAGCTGATAATCAAATAACAAATAAATTCTGGAAATTGCTCATATATTGCGAAAGATACTTGAAAATGTAACCTTCATTAGAGCTTTGAGGACTTCTCAGAACTTGCACAATTTTGAACCTAACAGTTTCGTCGAATTATTCAGTTTCCAAATCGCTGGAGTGGCTTAAAATATTTTAAACGAATCGAGTACACTGATGAAATGAATTCAGCGAATCGTTCCAGTGAAGCTGTCATTGCACTCGTTCACTTTCTAACGTTACTTATCCTTATTTCAGTCATGCAACAAACGTCGACTTCATTAGTTCACTATGCAAACATTCTGCATCCCAGAAATTAGGTTACTCCAATTTTATAGCATTTCCCCCTTTGCATGCTACTCCAGAAGCTACTCCTCGTTCTCTGAATCTTCACATCCCCAAATTCTTTCGTGCTTTCCACTTGAAAATTTTTTCAAACTATTATCAAGTATTAGTAACGCAGAGTGAACTGCAATCCAACAGACTGCTGAAGGTGACTTGTTTGTGCTTATGTGATAAGATATGAAACAGGATCATTTAGTAATTATCCTAAGTACAATAAATAAGCATCCTCTAGCAATTAGCAATGCAAGGTGAGTCGAGAAACAAATCAAGATAAACGAATCACTAGACAGAGCTGAAAAAATACACACCGCAATAAAAAATCACAAGAATACGAACAGGTATTGTATACGAGCTTATCTGCTGAATACATAGCAAATATTCTAACAGGTATATCATATAATGGATCGTTAATAATTATAAAATTGAAAGAAACTCAAGCTTTGAAAAGATAGATTATTGAAAGAAATCGAGAGGATGAGCACAACGAGCAATAACAATGCTGATCAAACGTTCATTGTTATGAAAGTGATTGTGACTGCAATGCTAATTGTAATGGCTGTGATATGAATGTCGAAAAGAGATTATATGGCGCGATTATCCTTAACGTGCAGTTCTTTCCATTCAAATTGATGACGCGTCTCTAATTCGATTTGAATACCTCGGCAATTTATTCTTGTTCCCATTTATTGCTTTGCCCTATTACTTCATTTGCTGAGTGAACATCCATACGTTTGACCATAGAAATTATTCGGCAATTCGACTCCTGATGTTAACACTTGAATTGCAGAATAATATATAAATTCATAAAATCATTGATCAAAATTCTTTCAAAAATTCCACGAAACGGTCGAACATTCTTGAGGCTAAGATGTTTTGATAACGTACCTTAAAGAAAAAGTGGTTTGTTTGAGAAGCGTTTCAATATTTGCCTCACAAAAAATGAACGAATCAATCTGATTGCAGGCAGTTGATAATCTTGTAAAAACGTGAGATAAATTGATGATCGAAAGCGCGAAATAGCTTATGAAAGTAGATAAGAACGGAACGAAGAGTGATTTTAGCATTTTTAATGTACGAAATGGAAATGTTATTTAAGATACACTCAAGGAAATTTGAAAGTAATCGTTGTTTATCAATGGTGGAGACATATCAATCAGTGCGTCACTCATACCTCATAATACTTCAATGTTGATGAAGTATGAATGTTCTTGATGAAGATGAGAATATTAATGAATAGACAAAATGACATATCGAGGATGGATGGTAGACTTACATCATTCGTTTGGTGTTGGCTTGTAAGGTTCGTGTGAAGAAGACATGAACGGAACTACATTATCAACGCTTATTCTCAGTTTGATTGCACATATTTTCCTTACAATTCATAAAAAATTTAGGGAAATCAATGAGAAAGTGAAAAAAGTCTGTAAGCTACGGAGCAACAAGCGGGCTTGAAGAAGGAAGTGCGAAAAGCAAACGAAATTAGAAAAAGAAATTCGGAAGCATAACACTGGTTGGAGTTTCAATACTGATCGAACCCAGAAAGACTGAACTCATGGAACCAGGGAACATGCAAGTGGGGTGGAATCAGCCGTAGAATCTTCACCTGCACTTTGAAAATTCATTGAACAATCGTTACCAAAATGAATTCAGAGCGAGAGGAAACAAAGCTAGTTGTATGACAATCTTACAATGTTTTTGACGGATTTGACAGAATGTTTCCAAAAACGAATGTGGATGAATTAGAACGGAACCTTTTGTTTTGACCGATAATCAATTCTGCAGCTAACGAACATAACAAGCACGTAACACCTACATTGATACTGAATACCACAGCTATCCTCATAATAATGTAGTACTATATGCAAGTGCGCGGACAAAAGACAAATGGAAGCGAAAAATGAATTAATTATAACTTGCCTAATTCATGTGCATAATGCTTAATAACAAGACACATTCGATGAATTATTAAATATTGCGAATGAAGATCTCGCTGAATGCACTTCTCGCGAAAAGGGTAAGCTTAGTGCATAGATAGCTGCTTTGCTTAGCGTTCAACAGATTAGAACGAGATAAATATTCACGAGATTTACAAATCATGGCAATTGGTTATCACTCAATGAATTAATAATCTTCAATATGTCCACAGCCAGACATAAACTTACATCCGAATATAAACAAAAATCATAACAAATATCCAATATTTGTGAAGCGACCGTTCATCGGCTTATCTTTCCGTTCATTTGATCCATGTTTATCCGTACCCAACCACTCAGTGTCATCTCAACCTCAAGAGGGCGCCCGTTCAGGGATTTCTTTCATATCTCAGATTGAGTAAACATTCAAAAAACAATAAACTATCCGCAATCGAACATCAAAATATCCATTAATAATTGTCCACTGTATCAAGTGAATGAGCAATCAAACGATACTACAATTCACTGAAACATACAACTAACAATTTCGCAACCCATAAACATTAGCATATTTTATTAAACGAATGCATATGGAAGCGTATTGGACGGAAGGTTGAGAATATGACATGTAAGGAGTTCGTATTCGGTTACTTAGTGAATGTGCAAAGCGGATGACGATTATGACGGTGACAAATCTTGGGAGGATTCATGCGGATGTGATTGCTATTTGCAAATTAAATTCGGATACATCTTCTTGATTAGAGATAGATCTTATTCATATGCGTTGTTGTTGTTGTTGTGGGCATTACGGACGTTGTTGTCCTCAATATTGCTGATTTGTTATTTCATACGCGCATGCAGTGCAAATGCATAGATAGCATTGTTACTTTATGCATTCTACTTTGAACAACAACACAACACATCACTCAACAACCAACAATGCGCATCGAAATGACCTCTCTCAAGCAATTGTAATCAACTGAAATGAATGAAATCATTAACGGATTACGAGTGGATGATGATAGTTTACTGTTATTATATGCGCATATGCATTTATGAGGAGCATCATCACTCTTCAGCAACATAAACAAATGATTTACGTTAAGCGTTCAAGTGAGTACTGTTCGATTATAACACCACATGCATTCACTTCAGGCATTCATTCATTGTTTCGATAATCTAATTAGCTTGCATCAAAGTCAGTCATTCATAATCTTATCCATGCAAGTGTTCATATTTTGAAAGCAATTTCATCGCGCCTTATGAGTTTGGTTTTAAGGAAGTGTGAGTGATATCGAATCACTGAACTAGCCTTAGAATATAATGAACTGTTGTTTCTGATTTTACGTTTGATAAGTGAACAATGATGTTCAAAGATAATGATTGTCAACGAGTGCACTTCGCTTTGAAAGAATTTTGCGTTCTTCAAAGTATTTGAGATGATACGTGACCATCTCGAAACGTTGGTTGATCAGTATAAAAAATCAACGAAAACAGATGGCCGAACAGATAAAATGCAACGTTCGTTTGTTTCGTGATCACTCATCAAAG